AGGACGGAGGTAGGACAGTGGAGGCGCCCGCGGTGGCTGCGGTGGGACGCGCTGGGGCTGCCCCGCCTGCCGCGGGCTGCCCCGGCTCCCGCGGGCGCCCGCCTCCGCGGGCGTGCCCGCCTCGCGGCTGCCCCGCCTCCCGCGGCTGCCCGGCCTCCCCGGCTCGCCCCGCTCCCGCGCTGCCCGACCTCCCGCGGCTGCCGCCCCCCGGTGCCCCGCCTCCCGGCGGTGCCCCCGCCTTCCCGCGGCCTGCGCCCGCCTCCGGCTGCCCCCGCCTCCCGCGGGTCTGCCCCGCCTCCGCGGCTGCCCCGCCTCCGGCGGGCTGCCCCGCCTCCCGCGGCGGCCCCGCCCTCCCGCGGGCTCCCCGCCTCGCGGTGCCCGCCCTCCCGCGGTTGCCGCCTCCCGCGGCTGCCCCGCCTCCGCGGCTGCCCGCCTTCCCGCGGCCTGCGCCCGCGGTGCTGCGTGTCTGTGCGTCCTTTTTTTTGAGATGGGGTCTTGCTCTGTTGCCTGGGCTATAGTGCAGTAGTGTCATCACAGCTCACTGTAGCCTCCAAAACCTGGGCCCAAGTGACCATCCTGCTTTCGCCTTCCAAGTAGCTGAGACTATAGGTGTGTGCCACCACACCCAGGTAATATTTTTTGATTTTTGATTTTTTTTTCTTGTAGAGATGTGGTCTTGCTATGTTGCTCAGGCTGGTCTCCAACTCCTGGCCTCAAGAGATCCTCCTGTCTCAGCCTCCCAAAGTGCTAGGATTACATGCATGAGCCACCTTGGCTGACCTCACTCTGGATTTCAACTTCTTTGTTATGAAGAACAATCTGCTTCACAGGAGTGCAAAAAGAAAAACAAAACAAAACAAAACTCTAAAGACAGATCAATTATTCCTTAGAGTTTTCAGAATGAAAAACCACAAGGAAGAGAAAAGGAAGAATAGACTTCAACATTAGCACCGGATATTTCTAGATCTCACAGCTCCAGCATTGCCAAGTCATTTGGAATGCCTTATGAGCTGCTAATGCAGCTCTAATGCTAGATCCAAGAGGCTGCAAAGAACTTCTCAACAAACCATTGCAATGCTCTTTCCTCCATACTGCAAGCCTTTCCTGCTGTTTCCTTCCTAATGAAAATCTACTTTCATAATATGATGTGGTTTTGGGGCTGCTCATTCCGAAAGAGCTGGTGCCTGTCCTAGGCAGAACTAGGAGTCAGAAGACACGTTCCTTCAAATGTTCTCTCCTTGTAAAACAAGTGTGTTGTACTCACCTAAACCATAACTAAGGTCCTTTGCTGCTTTAACATCCTTAGGTTGATTTAAAAGGCCAGATCTCTGTGACTTAGTTGGTCTAACTGAGCAAAAAAAAAAGAAAAGAAAGAAAAAGAAAAAAAGAAAAAATAAATAAATAAAAGGCCACATCTCACAGGACGTCAGCTAAGATGGCTATAACTCAGCATCCTAGCGATTGTTTCTAAGGCAGTAAAAGAAATACAACATCTTAAATGTTATGAAGGCAACAATGCATTCCACAAATATTTATTGAGTCCTTTTTATGTACTAGGAATTATGATAGGCACAGGAGATAAAGTCAGGTAGCCATTACAGATACTAAATTGCATATTGGTTATTGGATCAGCAGCTTGGAGAAAGAATATACAGTACCTTTGTCATTTGTCCTTTCTTACTACGTAGCTGTTTGTAACTGGAATGTCTGTGCTTGCTATTGGTGGCAGATTCTTGACTTAGGCAGGACTATATATTCTAGCACTTTAATGATTGACATGAATCCTTTCATGTAGTGATTAAACACAATTTTTTTTTCTTTTTTGAAATTAATTAATTTTGTTGTTGTTGTTGAGACAGAGTCTTGCCCTGTAGAGTGCCGTGGCATCAGCCTAGCTCACAGCAACCTCAAACTCCTGGGCTCAAGCTATCCTCCTGCCTCAGCCTCCTGAGTAGCTGGGATTACAGGAGCATGCCACCAAGCCCTGCAACCAACCCCAGCTATTTTTTTCTATTTTTAGTAGAGACAGGTCTCACACTTGGTCAAGCTGGTCTCGACTCCTGAACTCAAGCAGTCCTCCAGCCTCAGCCTCCCAGAGTGCTAGGATTACAGGCGTGAGCCACTGTGCCCGGACCATTTTCTAAAACTCTATCTGGGTGGGAAAGAGTTTATTAGTCACTGCTACAACCTTGGGGCTTACTGTAGTCTCATTGTAAATAGTACACTCCCTATTCACCTGTCTGGAAAATGACTCTATTACTAAAGTTTCTGGCATCTTCCACCTGAAAATGAGCCAACAGCCACTGATCAAGAGGAAATGTGTTTCTGTTCTACTTTCTTTGTCTTACGATTTCCTTTGATGTAAGACATCTTAATGCTCAGTCTTTATTTTTTTATTTCAAGAAAATATGCGAGTACAAACATTTTGGTTGCATTTTGTAACTTTGTCTCTCCGTAGCAAGGGTTGTATACCCTTCCCCTCCACAATGCTCACCACATCCCTCATATGTGGGTCTATCCCCCCAACCCCTGTATCCCTGGTGAACACCACCACCATTTAAGTACCACAGTGTTAATCGGTCAGTACCAATTTGATGGTGAGTACATGTGGAGCCCATTTTTCTGATCTCATGTGACCCCACTTTGGATAATAGGCTTAAGCTTAATCCAGGATAATATAAGCGGTGCTAGCTCACTGTGGTTTTTTTAGAATTGAGTAATATTCCATTGTAAACATATACCAAATTTTAATAATCCACTCAAGAATTGACGGGCACTTGGGTTGTTTACATGTCCTTACAATAGTGAATTATGCTGCCATAAACATTCGGGTGCAGATGTCTTTATAATAGAATGTCTTATTCTCTTTTAGGTAGATGCCCAACAATGCTATTGCTGGGTCAAATGGTATTTCTATTTTTAGCTGTTTGAGGTATCTCCAAATTCTTTTCCACAAAGATTGCACTAATTTGCAGTCCCATCAGCAGTGTAAGAGTGTTTCTGTCTCTCCACAACCTCTCCAGCATTTGTTGTTTTGGGATTTTTTTTTATATAGGCTAATTTCACTGAGGTTAGGTGATATCTCATTATGGTTTTGATTTGCATTTCTCTAATGATTAGAGATATTGAGCATTTTTTAATATGTTTGCTGGCCATTATTCTGTCTTCTTTGGAAAAGTTTCTGTTCATTTCCGTTGCCCATTTCTTAATGGGGTTGTTTGATTTTTTTCTTGTTAATTCTTTTGAGTTCTAGATAGATTCTTGTTATCAGACCATTATCGAAAGTGTAGAGAGCAAATATTTTCTCCCATTCTGTAGGTTGTCGTCTATTTGCTCTAATGATAGTTTCCATGGCTGTGCAGAAGCTTTTTAATTTAATCAGATCCAATTTGTTTATTTTTGTTCCTGTGGTGATTCCTTTGGGGGTCTTCTTCAAGAATTCTTTACCTACACCAATGTCTGAAAGGGTTTTCCCAACATCACCTTCTAGGATTCTTAAGGTTTCAAGCCTTAGGTTTAAGTCTGTTATCCATCTTGAGTGGATTTTTGTCTTTAGTAACAGGCGCCCCGCGGTGCTGCGGTGGGACGCGCTGGGGGCCTGCCCCCCGGGCTCCCGCCCGGCTGCCCCGCCTCCCGCGCTCCGCCTCCCGCGCTGCCCCGCCTCCGCGGCGCTCCGCCCTCCGGGCTGCCCGCCTCCCGCGGCGCGCCTCTCGCGCCTGCCCGCCCGGCGCGCCTCCCGCGGCTCCGCCTCGCCTCGCCCGGCTGCCCGCCTCCGCGCTGCCGCCTCCCGCGGCTGCCCGCCTCCGCGGCTGCCCGCCTCGCGCGCTGCCCCCTCCGCGGCTGCCGCTCCCGCGCTGCCCCGCCTCCCGGCGGCTGCCCGCCTCCGCGGCTGCCCGGCGGGCTGTGCTGCTGGTCTGTGCGTCCGTCGGTCCGTGGGGCGGCGGGCGTCAGGGATGCGGGACGTGTGTGGGGACGGGGCACACACTTCGCAGACCCCCGGCTCACAGTGCCCTGGGGGCGCGCGCGGCCTGCTACCTGCCTCCTCCCTGAACCGAGGTTCAAGTTCAGGTGGACCAGGGAGTCAGGTAAGCGGGACATTAGGGTCAGTCTCGTTCATCTCCGTTTACGAACCACAT